CCCATTAATGCCAAAGTATTGCCTCCTTCATAAAGGCAAGATAAACACTATGATTAAAATATAGTAAATAAAATATAGTAAAAAAGAAATTCTAGCAATACTGTTTCTACATGATTCAAAAAAAAGTTTTGTTGATTACTTACTATCACATAAATATATGATTGTTTAAGACATACTAAAATTTAAACATTGGATAGAAATAGATTTAGCTACAGGATAATGCAGTTTTCTTTATATGATTGATTTTTACCAGTAATATGAAGAGTTTAATGTAACTTTAATACAAATCCTCACAACACCCCTGTGAGGTAGGGACTGCTTAGATCCACTTTATATATATCAGAAATTCAGAACAAGAAATAGTAACTTAAATAAATCAAAAAATTTTGGTTTCTTATAAGGTAGACTGCATTTATCAGATGCTGAGTTCTGACAATATGCTAATAAGGACAATACTGAAACAATGTCTATTTTTTCCAGAAAATAACTCTAAGTAGGATTCTAGAAAGAAGGGAAAATTCTATGCTGTTCTAAAAGAGAAACATCTGCTTAGTATTTGTCAGATACACTGATTAAGGTGCACATAGAATTTCCAGTTTTAAGAATTTTGGTAATCATTATGCAAGTCTTCATATGTGGCTAAGGTTATAGTTCCATTTTGCAGATAAAGTAGTCACTACAACAGAAGGATATTTTTTATACAAAGTTGATTTTCTTAGGATCATGTTTCTTAAAATTATAGCAAGAGCATCATTTCAGTCATTTAATAACTATTTTTAAAATATGCCTATTAAATGCATGAAAAAAAGAAAAACTGGGTTCAGTTTCTGTACCACTAATCACTGGATCTTAAACCCTAGCTTTTGAGATTTTTAAAATATAAAACGGGCTGGAGCAATAGCACAGTGGGTAGGGTGTTTGCCATGCACATGGCCGACCCGGGTTCGATTCCCAGCATCCCATATGGTCCCCTGAGCACCACCAAGAGTAATTCCTGAGTGAAGAGCCAGGAGTAACCCCTGTGCATCGCCGGGTATGACCCAAAAAGCAAAATAAAATAAAATAAAATATAAAACAGGACTGGAGCGATAGAACAGCGGGTAGGGTGTTTGCCTTGCACACAGCCAACCCGGATTCAATTCTCAGCATCCCATATGGTCCCCCAAGCACCACAAGGAATAATTCCTGAGTGCAAAGTTAGGAGTAACCCCTGAGCATCGCCGGGTGTAACCCCCCCAAAAAATCTATATATATAAAACAGAGTGGGGCCAAAACAATAGGAGAGCGGGTCAGGCATCTGCCTTGCACACAGCCAACCCAGGTTCAATCCTCAGCACCTTATATGGTCCCCGGAGCCAACCAGGAATGATCTTTAAGCACAGAGCCAGGCGTAAGCCCTTATCACTACCACGTGTGGCCTCAAAACAAAAACACAGAATATTCTGGACTAAGGAAAAAGAAGACTTGCTTTAAATTCCTAATATTAAAAGCAACTATAAAAGAACAAACATAACAATTAACTATTATTTTCTGCACAACCAAAAGGCATAGACATATTTCTGCTTTAAATTTAGTATTGTCTATCAGGATCAATCACATGCAACCTCTTCACATTTTTCCAGATTCTGCCCTAGTTTGATGCACTATCCTGCAATTTATAGTCACCCCTTCATGCCAACCCTTTAGCTACATACTTCCTGTGTCAAGGAATAAAGACTGAGAAAGCAGGAAGTAATACAGAAGAGAAAATTAAGATTTCCACCCCTCACCATGTACAGTATCAGGGATCAAGTCGAGGGCCTCACACAGGTAAGGCATGTACTCTCTCAGGGAGTCATGTCCCTTGTACAGAAAAAAGTCATCTTATAGAGAATAAAATTTTGCTCAAAGGAGGATAGGAAATATATCCTAAATATTTCAAAATACATGACATTATGCAATTTGTGTTCATGCGATCAGATAGAATCTTGGAGGTCACGGAGTTAAAATTTTTTTGGTGGAGGAGGGGTTTAGGCCACATCTGGAGGGGCTCAGGCTTACTCCTGGCTCTGCACTCAGGGATCACTCCTGGCAGGGCTTAGGGGACCATATAGGGTACTAAGAATCAAACCTGGGTGAGCTACATGCAAGGAAAGTACCTGCTGTACTATTGCTCCAACCTTCTTAAACTCAATAATCTCTTAAATTATTTAAATTGAAAAAAAAAAAAAAGAATGTGGGATCATACCCAGCAACACTCAGGGGCCCTACCTTCAGTGGTGGGGCAGGAAGGCAGGAGCATGACACTGGAGCATCGAGATACAGTCTTTTAAGCCACCTCTCTAAACTTACTTAAAGTAACTTCTGTCTCCAAAGAGCAACAATTTTTTTTTAACTACTCCCAATAAAAGACTTTTGCTCATATCAAGCTTGGTCCCAGGCAAAGAAACTCAGCTGCCTTAGGCAGTGCCCATTTTTTTTTTTCCCATTCAGTTCTCAATAAAAAACTTTTACTCTATAATTCACCTACACTCAGTTTACCCAGAGAAAATTAAGTGTCCTTTAATGATTAGATCACTCTTTGAGTTCCTTCCTGACTAAACTCCAATGCTGAGAAGAAACACCATGCTTTCAGGAAATGTCCTTAGAAGAGAGTTCAGGACTTTTTGTATGCAGTTGGATTCTAAGCTCTAAAAACCAAATTTATATTAGTGAGGCTAAGACTTCAAAGGGTGACATACAAAAAAAAGATAAAGCAGTTTGAAGTCTCTCCCTTTTGTTATACTTGACTATCTAGTATTTGAAATTTAAACCTTCCAGAAACAATCTGGATCTACACTTTGTGCTGGCTTGATGAACTATTTCCCAGTTACACAGAGCAGGAAAATCTATCATTTGGTGTACGAATTTTGCTTATCTGAAGTTTTAGCTTTGTAAGTGAGTGATGTTTATTCACAGAGGAAAAGTTATCAAGAATTTTAAAGGTAGTTAGATGACACTAACGAAGCTGGCTAGTTTTGTGAACTGGACAAAAATAAAAACTGTAGTTCTAGAAAATTACTTTTCCAACGAATTACTAGATTATGAAAACCAATTTGGGGCTGACACACAGCTGACCTGGGTTTGATTCCCAGCACCCCCTGAGTACCACCGGATGTGGGTTACCCCCCAAAAAACAAAGCAAATAACATCAACTGAAGAGGTCAGAAAATTCTGACACTGATGGTGGGGAAAGAATTTGTGTTTAACATTTTTTTTAAAAAATTCAGATAAATCTATGGTCGTAAAAATCTCAAATTGCTCATAAGTTTTTTTAAGAATACTTGACTCTGTCCTGATATGCTTATTTTTGTGTATGTATCTTACTGGTTCTCTCCAAGATTTTTCTGAGTCCAGGGAAGATGACTCAACGGCTGGAATGCATGCTGACAGGGAGAGGCCCAGGTGTGCTCTCAGGTACAGCATGGTTTCCCAAGCACTGCCACATGTGGCCCTGGCGGCTCTCAGCATCACTGGGAAGATTCAGATACTAAAACAAAAATTTAAAAAACCCTTTTTCAGTTTTACTCTTCTACCCTTTTTTTGGGGGGGTGTGGGGGGAGGTGACACCTAAATAGTGCACAGGAGGTCCAGGGGTACCACTAGTGATTCTCAGCTAACCAAGCCAGCAGTTCAATGCAAGGGCTGGATGATGTGGTTGTGTGGCGCTGAGCACTACCTGGGTTACCCTGGGGATGCTCAATCAAGGGGCCTTCAGGACCACACCTGAATTATTTGGAGATATCCAGAGCAAAACCCATGAAGGGGAATGTGGTCTGGAGATTAATCACAAGGTCAATCACTTCCAAGGCATGATTCTTAACCCTGATCTATCTCTTCAGCCTGACCCTTTCTCTCTTTTAACCAAAATACATTTTACTACAAATGCGGTATACTCAATGTTAAAAAATAATAATAAAAGCCAAGAAAGATATTATAGAAATTTCAAGGGCTGGAGAGATAGTACAACGAGTAAGGCACTTGCCTTGCACATGGCTGACTAGGGTTCGATTCCCTATAACCCATACGGTCCCCTATAAAGAGTTAAGAGTAATTCCTGAGTGCAGAGCCAGCAGTGACCCCTAAGCATCCCTGGGTATGGCCCCAAAACAAAACAAAACAAAGTAATTTTAAGACTACTCATGATTTGGTATGGCTTGGTTTGAAAATTTTTATGGACTAGATGGTCCCCTGAGCACCGCCAGGAGTAACTCCTGAGTGCAGAGGCAGGAGTAACCCCTGTGCATCGCTGGGTGTGACCCAAAAAGAAAAAAAAATTATGGACTATAACAGTCATGCATTAAAATAATTATAATGGGAGAAGCTTGTTAAAAATAATCCCTTTAGCCAGAAGTGATAGTTTAGAACATTTCTTTAAAAAAAATAGATTTCATTTACAGAGCTGCAGAGATAGCTCAATGGATGAGTGCATGCTTTTGCATGTGAGAGCTCAGGGTTTGATCCCAAGCACTGCATAATCCCCCAGGCACTGGCAGGAGTAATCCTGAAGAAAACAGTCAGGAACAGGCCCTGAGCACTGTCGGGTATGGTGCAACCCCTGTTCTCCCACCCAATTTTTAAAATTTGCTTCCTATGTAAGATTTACTGACCTGTAAAACCTGGAAAAATTTAAACATTTTATAAATATTTACTATCAAGTTCCAGGTTTCTACTTAATTTCAGATTTCTATTTGTGAAAAGTTCACGGCCCTAATTGAAAGCTACATTTCCACAGTCATGTATATATATATCACAATAAAAAGATCAAATATATACATCCTTAAAATTACACACAGGGCCTGAGACATAGCTCAAATGATTAGTGTGCATGCCTTGCATGACGGAGGCCCAAATTTGATCCCCAGTACTGCATGGTTCCACAAGCACCACTGGGAGTGATTCCCAGCATCAAGCCTGGAGTAGCTCCTGAGTACCACTGAGGGGCCTGAAAAACAAGAAGGAGTAAACTCCACAGAAATGGAAAATGGCGAAGGAAAATGCCAAAGTAATTGAGAAAGAAAAGAATTTAGAAATTTTTAAAAATGCATGTTTTTTTTTTCCAGAATTGATATACAAATTCTGAAGAAACTGCTACTCAACTAAGATCGTGTCCACATGTTCTTGTGTGAGCTCTGTCTCTAAGGCACAAGAGGAGTCTAACTGTTCTTGTGACAACCGAGAGCTTTTCAGGGAGACATCAGACCAACTGTCACAATATGTCTGAAATCTCGGAGCTAATGCATTACCAAACCTTTGGTATCGGTTGTACCTGTAAGATTTACCTTTGTGTGTATACATGTGTTCCAGCAATTGGCTTTTTCGAAGAAATTTATGACCACAGATGGTACAGCTGATTTTTCTTTTCCTTGAAAAAGAAAAATTACAGTTTAATTCTACTGGCTCAGTATCTTTGGAGATCAAAGACACTTGACTGATCTGCAAAGGCTCCGTGATACCCCGGTTTGAGTGGTCAGGTTGCTGTTCATTCTCCTTGACAATGAAGGAGCTGAGCCTGTGGCATTCCAGGGCCTCATTATTTTCAGTAAGAGGGTGTACTTCACCAAGGTCATTACTTTCCAGAATGGAAGCAGGGACTCCAAATGGGAGGGATCCAGACACGTGGGTATGAAGATGTTGCCTTAGGTTACTACGGGAATCAAAACGCTCTCCACAGTAATGGCAGAGGTGTATTTTGATGCTACTTTCAGTGGGGCCTGTCATCTCTGATGAAGGTGAAGTATGGCCCTGGGAGATCACTGATTCTGGCTCACATCTCTCCTGCTTGATGGACACTGGGGACTTCTGATGTTCCTCCAATGCCTGGGTGGCAGCGTGGGCCCTCTGCTGGTCTGCAGTGCCATCATCCAGCCCAATTGCCAGAGAAAGCTGCAGCTGTGGGTGTTCACCCTGGACAGCAGCTCTGTTTCCGGCGTTAGTCGGAGGAGGGTCTTTGACTTCGAGTCCTTGTTTGACAGCTGTTTTTTGGGTTGTTGAGATCTGAATGCCATACAGATTTGAGGACTGCACGGTCTCTGGTGAGAACACCTGATTCATTTCAGTTGCAATATGAGAAAGGTAGTCTGCGTGAAGAAATCGAATCCCTTCTTCCAAACGACTGTGATCAACAATCTGTTTTGGTCCTTTCCCCGTGTACATAATGTGCAATAAATAGCTGAATATGTCAGGTTGGATGTCAGTTGGTTGTATTTTTATGCATTCGCTGTTAAAAACAAAAAAACAGACCCACACAAGATGAAAACAACCTAGTTGGTCTTTTAGTTAATATTAGGTCTTCAACTAAATCAAGTTCTTCCTAAGAAGTTCAAACTTAAGCAATCTAAATTGATGAAATAGAGCAGTAAAAGTTCCAACTTTCATTGTATGGCCGTTTTATGGTCCAGCAACAAGTCTTCATGCAGCTGGTCTACTACCTAAAGAAACACAGCGCCATGATGATGGCTCAAAGGGCAATGCACATGCTTGGCATACTGGAGGCCTGTATTTAATTCCCTGCATAGTCCCACAAGCACTGCCTGGGAGTAGGCCCCAAAACCAAGCTGGGAGTGGTCACACCTAAGAACTGCCAGATGTTACCCCGAAAAACAAAAGAAAAAAGTTACGAAACAGAAACTATGTTTAGTTCAAATTTATTATTTTGGTTTGGGGCCATACCTGACAATGTTCAGGGTTTACTTCTGGCTTTATATTCAAGGGTCACTCCTGAAAATGCTTGGGGGATCATATGGGGTGCTTTATATTGAACATGCAAAGCAAAATGCTTTACCTGTTATACTATTTCTCCAGTCCCTAGTTATTTAATGATTCCTAGATAATATATACTATGTTAGATGTGAGGAGGTAAAAATAAATTAATAAAATAGGTATCCTGTTCTTCTGACAGGGAAGAGGATGTGAAACACACTTGGCAATGCTCTGGGTTACTTTTGGCTCTGTGCTTAGCAATTATTCCTGATAAAGCTTGAACCGGGGGTCAGATAGCATGCAAGAAAAGCACCTTAACCCTACATATTCTCCAGCACTTGTGTCCTGTTCTTACAGAACTTGATAGCCTACCACTAAGTATAAAATCAGAAGAACTGAAAACAGGGTACTCAAACAGACCTATTTTACAATTCTACTAGCATTTACATTAGCTAGAAACAACAGTATTTAACAAATGAACTGTTTTTTTTTTTTGGCTTTTTTTGGGGTCACAACCGGCAAAGCACAGGAGTTACTCCTGGCTTTGCACTCAGGAATTACTCCTGGCGGTGCTCAGGGGACCATATGGGATGTTGGGAATTGAACCTGGGTTGTCCGCGTGCAAGGCAAAAGTCCTACTGTCACTCCAGTCCCGTGAATTGATTTCTTAAATGTGGCATATATATATACTGGAATATATATATATATAAATGTATGTATAATGGAATATTACTCAACCATAAAATGACATTATGACTCATGCTACAGCATGGATCAATTTTGAAAACATAGTGATGGGCTGGAGCAATGGCATAGCGGGTAGGGCGTTTGCCTTACATGCGGCCAATCCGGGTTTGATTCCTACATCCCTCTCGGGGAGAGCCCGGCAAGCTACAGAGTATCCTGCCCGCACAGCAGAGCCTGGCAAGCTCCCTGTGGCATATTTGATATGCCAAAAATAGTAACAAGTCTCACAATGGAGACATTACTGGTTCCCACTCGAGCAAATTGATGAACAATGGGAGGACAGTGCTACAGTGCAATGCTAGGATACTTTGTCCTGGACTTACTCCCCTTCACCCAAAAATCTGAAGATAAGTCAAGGTTTAATCCCTGGTACCACATGGACTCCCAAGCACCACTAGAAGTGACCATTGAGCACAGAGCCAGAAGTCGTCCCCAAGTTTTGCCAGGTGTGGCCCCCAAATTAAACATACACACCAAAAACAAAACAAAACAAAACAAAAAAACGAACCAACCAATGAATACAGGTAAAATCTTGTTTTTGTTTTGGAGCCATACTGGTGGTTCTCAAGGCTTATTCCTGGTTCAAAGCTCAGAAGACCATGTGATGTAAGAAACTGAACCTTGGGATTCTATAATCTATAGAGCAGCTGCTCCAGCCCTTTGAGCTAGCTTCCCAGCCCTTAGGTATAAATTTAAAATGCTCCCCAATAAAATAAGTTCAGTTTTCATGTAAATCTAGAATTCAGATAACAGCAATAGCTCTGTATCCAAAAACTAGTAATTACCCAGCAAAACAGGAGTAGGATAACCTAGTTACTGAGAACCATGAATCAATGAATTCACTAAGCTTGCTTGAAGCAGTTCATGTCACTACCTGAGAATGCTCTAGGTGTCAGTACGCTGGCAATCCTTTTCTTTAGTCTAGTTATCTGGGAAATCCCCCTTGAGTTTCACTTTCAGCTCTGACCCACCCACTTCCACCAGACATTTTTTTTTAATCAGACATTTTTTTAACCATCAGCACAGAGCTCTGTTAACTGAGAAATTTTACTTGCACTGGTCTGTCACCTTGTATCTCCTGCATTTAGTTTAACATAGTGCCTGGTACACACAAACCCTTTGAAGATGAAATTAACTTACAGTTCTAGAATGAGACTGATAAGAAGGTAGTGTTTCTAATCTACTTTCTACACTGACACATCAGACAGGAAGTTGGCATGCGGAAAAGGCTACCCATAACCTCCTTTCTCCTTGTGACATACATACCAATCATTCTGATCTACTCCTGCTTGTTTTCTGAATGTGCCAGTCTAGTTCACATCTGCATGCTTTCACGAATTTTCACCCCCTGCCTGCAATGTACATTTTCATATTTTTCTTCAACTGAAAAACTCCCTCTGATCCTTCATGATCCAGAGCCTCTGTAATTCCAACTTTCTCAAAATAGGGCAATTGATATTCCAATCTACCTTGAACAACATCCCCCTTATGTACTGATGGCACTGAGTATTTACTAACAGTAGTCTGTTAGTATACTATTCCAACCTATTCCGTTTCAGAAAGAAGCTGAAATCCCCAAAGAGCAATCATATTGCAATTATTTCTTTACATGTACTACATTCTTATTAGGCTACTGATTTATCTTTTTTTTTGGGGGGGGACACACCTGGTGGTGCTCAAGGATTACTCCATGTACAGTACTCTGGATTATAAGGTCCTGGTGAAGCTTGGGGGACTATTAGGTGTTGGGGATCGAACTCAAGGCTCCCACATATACACTTTTAGATATCTCTCTGGATCTAGACTATGAACTTCTTGAGTGTAAAGGGTGTAACTTACCTTTTACTACAGTTTAGCACAATACCTGACATGAAGTAGTTAATATTTGAATGAAAGAATAATTAGCAGGGGCTCGAACAATGGTATAGTGGGTAGGGAAGTTGCCTTGCACACTACTGACCAAGTTCTATCCCTACTACCCTATATGGTCCCCAAAGTCTTTTCTAGAGTGATCCCTGAGCACAATCCAGGAGTAAGCCCTGAGCAACACCACCACCCCCAAAATTAGCTAATGATGTATAAATAAAGTTGAGTTTCAAAGTATCTTCCTTTGAAAATAACAATGTTTTATAACTTATTTGATGGATTAGTGTGTGTGCATGTGTGAGTGCGTGTGTGTGTGTGTGTGTGTGTGTGTGTGTGTGTGTATTTGGGCTACACCTAGAAGTGCTCAGGGCTTACTCTCGGCTCTGAGCTCAGGGATCACTTTTGATGGGCTCAAACAAAAGGTGCTACGAACAAAAACCCAGATGAACCACGTGCAAGGCAAGCACCCTGCCCATTATACTATCTTTCAGGCTTCTAAAGTTATTCTTGTGTTTGCTTGGTTCTGATTCTGGTTCTATCTGGCTCAGACCACATACTACACTGTGCACAGGGGTTGCTTCCAGGGGTGCTAAGGGAATCATGTGGAGCCAGAGAGCAAACCACGCTCTCCTGTATCAAAACATGAACATAAGCACTTTTGAACTATCTTACCAGCCCCTAAAGTTACTTATTACCAAGAGTTCACAATCTAAATATCAGTTTTCTACACTCTTCCTAAATACTTACAATGTTGGGGTAACCTAAATTTTAAAAGCAATTCAGGGCTGGGGAGATGGTTCAGAGGGTTGGTGCCCATTCTTTGCATGCAGGAATGAAAGAATTCTTATAAATGCACGTCCTTACCTTGTTTGATGAATAAATATCATCTTGAAATAGTTAGAAAAAGCAGCAAGCACTGCTCTGTGGGCTTTAAAGTAAACATCTCCAATAGCAACCGTGCAATCACACAGAAAACCAAATTCTCGTTGCATGTTCAACTGCTGCAAAAGGACAAGGCTATGGCTAGCTGTGTCCATTATGGCTCTGAGAGGGAAAAAAAAGATAGTTCTTTTTAATTCTAGTTCCTATAGATCTAAAGATATTTAAAGCTAAATAAAATTATTCAATATTTTCAATCCTGCTTGTTTCATCTCAAATCTTACATTAACCCCCACCTTCATTATAACAAACGCTATTAATTCTACTCAAACCCTGAAATGTGACTTTTTCCTTTAATAAGATAACTTGGTACAAGTGACTCAGAAACAAAAAGAACCCTCTGTCCTTTTTTATCTATTCCACAATAGTTTCTAGTCCTGCTTTCTCACTAGAAAATGGGAATGAGATTGGTTTCCCTGTTTCAGAGTAAAGATGAGACATATAAAAAGCACCCTGTTATTGAAACTGCTATTCCAAAGTTAGCTATAAATATTAATAACATAACTATGTGCCCCAACTGCTCCTTAAGAATCATCTGTGTGCTTAGGGGACAACAGCCTATCATACAATGTGAGAACTTAACAGGTGTCCTGAAAATAGCTGGTGAGCCTCATTCCTTGATTTATAAGGGCAGAGGACCCCATAAAAAAGAATCTAAATTCTGATCATATCTGCATTCAGTCACAAATAAACATAGAGGGAGAATCCAGTATGGGACCACAGGCAAAGTGATACACAAGGAAGAACATGCAGAGGAAATCCGGTGGAGAAGTCAAAGGTAAGCATCAAGGATACTTAAGAGTTCTGTGGACCCAGGCAGGTAGAAGGCGATTACTTCACCTTCTCCATTCCAACTGTACAGAGTCTTGAGGCTTTATAGGAGAGGGTGGTCATGTTATAACGACAATCACTGGGGGGTTGGGAGATCTATGCTGAAAGTGGAGATCTTGAAAAGAGGGTAAGTTTCTTCACTAGCCAAAAAGACCGAGGTCTAAGTAAATAAATGATGAGAGTATGGGTTTAGCCATCGGGAAACTGGCAGTAGCTAGGGAAGCAGATAGTTGAATGAGTGATACTAAAAATAGCAGACACTTCACTTTGCACTCATTTTATTTTCAGTAAAACTTTATGAGAAAGGGAATGCATTTAATGTGCCTTACAAATGAAGGAACTCAATTACGAAGATGTAATTTACCCAAGTTCACACTGCAAGAGGCACAGTAGAGGATTCGAATCCTGGGTCCCAAAACCTAAACGTCCGCTCTACCTATCCCTCAAATGGAACATGACCACAGACTGAAGAAGTCAAGGGAAAAGCTGTTTTGCTTCTCAAGACATCAGGAACTTTTGGAAAGAGGAATCTGGGAGAAACCAGATTTTCTGCTGCTTAAACACAAGTGATGAAGTGACTCCTGGATCTGTGTTTGGAAGTTGCTCTCAAGTATATTCTGGGAACCATGTGATGCCAGGAATCAAACCAGGGTCAGCTGCAAGCAAGGCAAGCATCTTCAGTCTCTGCACTCTCTCGCAGGTTTCCAAGTATTTTTTGTTTTCAATTTTTCCTTTTTGGAGGGAGTAGTGTGACACTGACCTGAGTCAGGGATCACTCCTGGCTAAGCTTGGGGAACTATATGTGGTGACGGGGACCAAATCCTGGTCAACTGTTTGCAAGGAAAGTGTCTTACTCACTATACTATCTCTCCAGCCCCCTATATATATTTTGAAGAGAAATTTAATTTAAAAAATTGATAATGTATTCTACAGAAGAAATTACATAGATACTACAATAAAAAAGATTACAGGCTAATCAAGAGATAAAAATCAAAACAGCAATTACAATCGGAAATACAGGAGTAAGTGCCTAAGAGCAGTTCGGATCACATGCTGTGAGGCAGAGTGAAATAACAGGTAATCCAATGAAAAATATGCCAGTTTACTGATTTAGAACAACAGAAGGTGAACACAGCACCCAGGAGCAAAGAACAGAATGAGTAAATTAACAGATATCAGTATGAATACAGAGAGCAAAAGAATTTGCTTTGTCATAGGAAAACTAAAAGCAAAGAACAAGTGATGGGGTCAGTTAACAGGAGGTACTGTATATAAAACTATAAAGAACTGCGATGGTACTTGAAATGGAGAACCTAATATTAAGATGTTTTCAGTGCCTGGGAACACAATATACTAGTTATAAAGCTTGCACTCTGGAGCAAGACAATTGGATTATAATTCCAACACTGCTGATGGAATGCTTAACTGTCTAAGTCTCAATTTCACTTATAAAATGTGGACAATTATAGTATTTACCTCACATGCTGTTATACAGATTTAGTACAATAATGCCCATAAGCATTTAGAAATTGTAGAACTCACAGAGTTCAACAAATACTAGTCATCATCATCATCTTCACCATCAGACCTTGAGTTGAAACTATTCTAGTAACAACACACAAAGAAGATTTGCAAGGTGGGGCTGGAGCTATAGTACAGCGGGTAGGGCATTCGCCTTGCATGCGGCCAACCCCCGAGTTCCATCCCCAGCTTCTCATATGGTCCCCTGAGCACCACAAGGAGTAATTCCTGAGTGCAGAGCCAGAAGTAACCCCTGAGCACTGCCAGGTGTGACCCAAAAAGAAAAAATAAAAATTAAAAAAAAAAGTAGAATAGCAAGGGAAAGGGATGGGGAAAGATAGACCAGAAAGGAGTCAATAGCCCTATCCAAGTAATGGAAGTAGACTAAAGAAAGGAATACAAGACACATCAGATGTAGAACTCACATGAACTGGCAACTGGATATGGTCAATTAGATTTCAGGTCAAAGGTGAGTCTAAGAATTCCAGTTTTAGTTACTGAAAAAAAATCATTCCTACAGATATTTGCAGATTGACTACCATTTGCTAGGCACTGACAAAAAGGGAGGATTCCAGAACACCAGAGAAAAGACGCACAGACTTGAGGTCTTGAGATGGCTTTGAAGGGCAGGAGTGTCTGCCTTGCAATCTGCAGGTCCAAGTTCAAATTCAATCCCTGATACTTCATGGCCCATTGAGCACCAAGCTGTGAGTAGCCCTGATCACTGCCACATGTAGTCTAATGCCCCCCTTGCCAATAAATAAATAAATAACTGGCTTCGTAAAATCAGCTTCGTCTTCAATACAGTGAGCTCAAGGTACTCATTCTCAGCAGAAATATTTCCTTAATGGGAGCCAGAGCAAATAATACAGTGAGTATGGCACTTGTCTTGCATGTGGACAACCAGGGTTCAATCCCTGGTACCTCATATGGTTGCCAGAGTCTCACCAAGAGTGATCCCTGAGTGCAGAGCCAGGAGTAAGCCCTGAGCACCACTGGTATGATTTAAAAAAGGAAAAAAGAAACAAACATTTCCTATTAGTTCATTACATGAAAGACTAATGCTCTATGCAGAGCAAGACTGGACAGAGAGAAAGGTCCTCTGACATTATTAGGTTGAAGTCACCAGGTATGGGAAGGATGAAATAAAAGAAGCAGCTAAGAACGAATCTTTGGAGGATCTGGGTGGAGGATGCTCGACTCCAATCCAAGTAGGCTTGGAGATCTTGGCCCCGGAACCCGCGTGGCTTTGTCCCTCTGCCAGTACTTTCATGTGTGCGGAGAGTGGTCTCAGCATGGTGGTGGCTGGTCCTGGAGGTCTTCGACTGCCGGAGCCCTCGTCGGGGCAGGGAGGAAAGCTCAACCCGCTCCCCTCCAAGGGACCCCGGCGAGGAACAGCCAGGCATAGGGGCAGGAGACTGCACTGGTCTCGTCCGGGAGCTGGATCCTCCAAATTCCAGTAGGCGGAGGTCACACCCACCACCTGGCCCCCTGGCGCCGTGTAATCCCATCAATGGCCAAGACTCAGAGACTATAAAATCCAGCTCCTGGAACCACGAGGCCGCATCTGCGGCCGCGTGACATCTTATCAGGACATCTTTTTATGACATCTTATTATCTCATTCCTACTTTGGACAAACTTGCAGGGTATCAAATGTAGCCTGCCCACAGGGCAGAGTCTGGCAAACTCCCCGTGGCCTACCAAATATGCCAAACACCAGTAACAATGATGGGTCTCATTCTCCTAAAGAGCCTTGATTATAATCTCAGGGCTAGGATGAAAGAGACGTTACTGGGGCCTGCTCGAGGCAATCGACGAATAACAGGATGATGAATGAATGAATGAATGAAAAGAACGAATCTTTAAGAAACAAAAAAGGATCCGAAAAGATGGTGCAGTGGGTAGGGCATTTGTCTTGGCAGGACTTAGGGGTGATATTGGGTGCTGGGTATCAAACCAGAGTCATTCACATGCAAGGCAAGCGCCTTACCAACTGTTACATCTCTCCAATCCCAAAGGTGGGGCTGGGGGGATTCGCTCAGTGTTAGAAAGTGGCTTGATGCCGGTGGGTGTAGTTGCTCCTGCAAGTACTTGGGGAGTCAAGAGGCTATAGGGATGGAACCTGAGACTGCTGCGTGCATCACTGAATTATCTCTCCAGTCCTGTATGCTCTTTCAGATGGGACTTATACACAAACTAAGCAGTCAGTCCACAAGCAAAAGAAGTTTAGACCTTGAAAAAAAAAACCCTTAGGAGTCACCCAAGTACTTCCTGGAGTGGCCCAAAAAAATAAGCAAAAAGAAACTTAGGAAAATATCCCTGACACTAATACATAGCATTGAAATGAATGGTTAACTCTTCCATACACTACTTTGTTACAGCAAATGATGTAAATTTTATTTAATCTATATTTAAATTCACTTACTTTTTAAAAAAAAATTTTTTTTAAGAACACACCCAGGGGGCTGGAGCAATAGCAACAGCAGGTAGGGCATTTCACTTGCACACAGCTGACCTAGGTTCGATTCCCAGCATCCCAAGCACCGCCAGGAGTATTCCTGAGTGCAGAGCCAGGAGCAATGCCTGTGCATTGTCGAGTGTACCCAAAAAGCCAAAAAAAAAAAAAAAAAAGAATACAACCAACTGTGCTCAGAGCTTACTCCTAGGTCTATTTTTAGGCTCAGGACTTATTCCCAGTGGACCCAAGGGATCATAGAGGGTGCTGGGGATCAAAACAGGGTCAGCAGTATGCAACGAAAGCACCCTATCCTCTGTACTATCACTCTGGCCCTGACTTTTAATTTGTTAAGCCCATTTAATGAATTAAAGTAAAGTAAAGTAAAGGCCCTCCCGTTGATCATCGATTTGCTCGAGCGGGCCCAGTAACGTCTCCATTGGAGACTTTGTTGTTACTGTGTCTGGCATATCGAATACTCTCGGTAGCTTGCCGGGCTCTCCGAGAGGGGCGGAGGAATCGAACTCGGGTCGGCCATGTTGGCCGCTTGTAAGGCGGACGCCCTACCCGCTGTGCTATCGCTCCAGCCCCTCATTCTTTTCTCCCATTTTTCAGTTTTTATTTCTCTGCTCATATTTATTTCTGGTTCACATATTCCACTCTTGTGTTGTTCTACATCTTTGAACAGTTACAACTGCTACTTTAAATCTTCCCTGTTAATTCTAATCACTGGGTCATCTTGAGGGCAAGACCATTAAGTTGATGGCTTCCTGATTCTTCTGTGTCCTTTCATTGTTTCACTTTTTTTGTTTGTTTAGTTGTTTGGGGGCACATCTGGTGATGCTCAGGATCATTCCTACTAGTGCTCTGGTACCATATGGGGATCAAATCTGGGCTTTCTACATGTAAAACATGAGCTCCAGGCTACTGAGCTATCTCTCTGGCTCCTTGGCAGAAATTTCAAGACGTGATTCAAACTGCATAAAAATAATTTAAGATAACTGTTATACAGAACAATAAGAACTAAGAGCAAAATGTACAAGTGCTACTTCTTTTGAGAGGGGGTGGAGTTAGGACCATACCCCAGCTATGCTCAAGGAACCATATATAGTGTCAGGGATCAAACCCAGGTCAGCCACATGCAAGGCAAGCACCTTGCATGATATAAACATATATACTATTTCTCCAGTCCCCCAAGTGTTACTTAGGTCTTATCTGTTATCACAGTGGTATTTATAATAATAGGCTCAGTGATAGTTAAGTTCATAAAAGCCTTTATTTGCTACACCTCAGTAACTTTGGGTTGGCAAAAACTAAAAGTTTTTTTTTTTTTTTTTTTTTTTTTTGCTTTTTGGGTCACACCCGGCAATGCACAGGGGTTACTCCTGGCTCTGCACTCAGAAATTACCCCTGGCGGTGCTCAGGGGACCATATGGGATGCTGGGAATCGAATCCAGGTCGGCCGTGTGCAAGGCAAACGCCCTACCCTCTGTACCCTCTGTGCTATTGCTCCAGCCCCAAAAACTAAAAGTTTTAAGAGAGAAATAAAAGGAATGATTTTAACATTGTGTAGGGGCTGGAGAGGTAACAGAGCAGGTAAGGCACTTGCTTTGCATGTGGCTGACCCAGGTTCAATCCTCAGCACCCATAGGGTTCCCTGAGCCCACGAGGAGCTGAGTCAGGACTAAGCCCTGAGCAATTCTGGGTGTCACTCCGAAACAAAACAAAAACAAAACAACCCAAAACACTGTGTAGAAAACATAGTTTCTCTTGGTTTCTAACACTCTTATCATTAAGGATGAAAAGTTGGCAAAGAAGCGTGTACAGCTTTTTTGAAATTCATAGCTATAAATACAAAGGTAAAAGCAGAAACACTCAAAGTGCCACAAGAGAAAATATTTAAGTGATTTCAGCTTTCAAATGTATTTATACAAGACGCCGGAAGTGTAACATCTTATAATCTAAAGAAACAATATTTGCAGAAATAATTTTTAACCAGGAATGAGCTCTTGTGGCAGACTATTTTGTGAAATCTCCCATGAAGTTGTTGTGATGGGCGAGTCCTACCTACTCCAGATGAACACAAACAGAACTGAAGAGGTAAAACACAGACCCTGTTACTCTGGCTTCACAGGTGATCCTTACCTGATGTCTTATTTAAGAACCATTGAATAGAAGAAACCAAGAATGTTTCACACTCTAACTTACAAAGAAAAAGAAGCAATGTCACAAAAAGCAATGTAGGAATCAGCTCAATTACATTAAATAAAAAAGCCAACACATGTAATTCCCATTGTAACTTTAAAAATAACCAGATTCAGAAACAAATATTCTTGGGCCTGGAGTGATAATACAGCAATAGTACAGTGGGTACAAACACTTGACTTGCATGTGGCCAACTCAGGTTCCATTCCCAGCATCCAATATATGGTCCCACCAGGAGTAATTTCTGAGTGCAGAGCAAGGAGTAACCCCTGAGCATCACCAAGGGTAGCCCCCAAACAAAAAACAAAACAAAACAAAAAATACTTCCAAAGTAGGTGGATGGGCATTGAGAGCAGAGACACCATCATTTTCACAACTCTTCTTTTAAAGTAATTAGGATAAAAATACTTTTTTCATATTCCATTACAACAATTTTCAGAGTATCTGAAAATGACTAGGGTCGCGACTCAATGATACAGCACAGACCTTACCTCTGTGAGGTCCCAGGTTTGACTCCAGTACCACAAGGGTGTAATCACTAGGCACCACAAAAGAATATGGAAATGTAAATTTGGAATACTTAGCTTGAGGTAAGGTCTTCAGAAATTCTAGAGATCTGCTAATGAAAATCACTAAGTATGTTAGGAATGAGAATAAGAAATAAATGTAGTAGATGACACAGGAAGAGCAGTTATGCTCTAGAAACCTTTACCAAACTGGGAAGCATTAGGTTGGGGCCTTCTGTTTGCTGGCAGACAAAGCCAGCCCACTACATCTCTAACCCCCATAGAAATGAGTGGGAAGCCTGATAAAGCCACAGTAGTACCAGGCAAACAAGAACGTTACCACCAGTGGAGTGCAAATTGCTGGTGTACCCTAAAAGAAAAAAAAAAAGGTAAAATGAAAGTACAGCAAAACCCTGTGAAGGAAAGGAAAACATTCTTTTTAAACCCACACATACAAGAAAAACTGTGTTTCTGAAAGGAAAAATAAGATACCTGAAAGGACAGGAGAAAGCTGGAAAATGACAATACTAGTACAGATCTAGAATACTGAAATGCACTACAGACAAGAGTGATGCTAACTTCTGAATACAGGTGAACTAATACTTCCTTTGCCAGAACTGTCCAGAAACATGTCAAGAAAACCCTGTTTAAAGTGCCTAATTTTTTCAAAAGTCTTTAAATTGATTTGTAACCAGGGAAATGAATTTTTTTAAAGGTAAGAAATGTGACATAACAAAATTAACTCCCCCCCTCAAAAAAAAGTTTAAAAAATCCTGCTAGCCAAGAAAAAGCAGAAGTGCAAATGAATTAAAAATATTCTCAAACTGTTCACTTCAAACATTTCATTCTCCTCTTCCTCCCCTCTCCCTTAGGGAAATTAAAGTAACATCTTTCCTAGTAAGTCTAGCAAATACCATTTTAGTTATTATCAAGAGGTATTACTATGACTAAATCAACTATAAAGAAGGTTTTGTACTGAGTGTTTTATGTACTTTCTCTTTTAATCCTGTGACTGTATTTGTCATTTTAATTTTACAGAGGAGAAAACCTAAGCATAGAACATTCAATGAGCAAATAATATAAGGAGAGAATAAAAACGAGGCTGACTCCATGTACTGGTAACTATAAACTGGAGCGATTTTTCTTAGTATCCTCTCAAAAGATCGAAATGCATGTACAAATATGTTACGTTATTTGGAATAAAGCAGAAGGTGCAGGAAGTGGTAGAGCAGTACTTCCTAACTTAACGAGATAAGAGCACCTGCACTGTTTTTTTTTTTTAGAAAGAAGGAAAGAAAGAAAAAAAGAAAGAAAGAAAGAAAACTTGCAATAATAGAACCCCAGCCTCCAACACTTTCTGGCTCTGTTATTACTAACATGAACAGGTTTTTCTTTAACAAGATGGTCAGAGCAGCACCTACGCACCACAGTACATAAATCACTTTGGTTCAGTGGCAGGGAGGGCATTATGCAACACTTCCCAGCACAGCTCTCACCAGGATATTTTACAGGCAAGGCACTTCGGCCCCTCCTCCCCAGCTAGACAGCCTGGCTCCTTCGAATTCCCCTCAGGAGATAGGGTGGAAGCTCATAGCTCTACTTTCTAAGGCAGAGAGGGCAGCTGAAAGTCCTGCTTGGCCTCTCTGGGCAACCACAGGCGCCAATAAATCAGCCACAAGGCGATTCTCTCATCCCTTTCCTGGCTTCAAGTGGTAGCAAGATATAAAGCAAAAGAGCAGGCTTGACTTGGGAGATAAGTGATCTAGCCTTGAATTCTATTGCAAATAACTGCATCAGCCAAGTCAGGTAAATCTCTAACCTTGTCCCCTCCTTCATAAGATGGAGCCAATGAAACCTCCTTTTTAGTAAGAAGTCAAAATTCATCTTCAAAAGCAGCTAGTCATGGCAGGTACTCAAACAGAGACCCAAATCAGCCATCTCCTCTCCGGACAAGCAAAAAGATACAGCAAGTCAAGTGCCCTCCTTCTCTCCTCTCCTGCTGACCATCCTATGATGGTTCTAGGCCATCTGATTACCTTTCAACCATCAAACTAATCCACTACACATCCTGGGCCATTAATGCTTTGCCCCTACTTAGGGGCTGATGCCTGACAATGGAATAATAGCTCTTATTTAGTTAGAACACTCTAATTGTGGGCTGGGGCTCAATGGTTAGAGCACTTAGAGTCTGTGTGAAGCCCTGGGTTGGAATACCAGCAAACTCTTAGGATTCCCGCCCGCCCCCCCCACCCCCTTCCCCAATATATTTTGCTGTGTAAGATTTTAATGGCTTAAAGGCTTAAGCAACCAATGTTGCAAACAGGTCTTGAGCACACAAGATCACGGGCAGTCTATTCCACCTACAAATAGTATCAAGCTCATTCCTTAAAATATCAGAGGCATCTCACACCGGCCAAGCCTCGTTTCTCAACAGCCTGGGTCGAGCCAAAAATCGTCACCTCTGGCGGTCAGTCTCTCCCAAGAGTGGGTCAAACTGGCGCGGAGGTACTGTAGGGAGAACTCCATGACCGAGCCCCTGGCACTGGGGTCACTCAAGGTCCGCCAGACCACCTTCCGCTACCCTCTTGGGGCCTGGTGAGAGGCGCTGGTGAGAGGCACGACCCGGAAGGCGCTCTCGGCTGGAAAACGCTGTGATCACAAAAAGTGTTAACTTCATAACGTGACAAAAGATCCTGTGAGCATCAACAACGGTACCAGAAAGGCGGGCGCCTCCTGAAAAAGCAGGTCGACCCCAGGGGGAATCCCTTGGGCGGGAAACCGGCCTCGGTCCCGCCAGCGGCTGTCACAGTTGAGGGACGGCGCTTGGGGATCGGCTCCCCGGCTCCCAGTAACGAGTGCTCGGGCGGGCAGTGATCCGTGGCACACGCTTTTTAATTAAAAAAAAAAAGAAAAAAGAAAAGAAAAAAGATCGGGGCAGGCTTTACAGGAGATGAATGGCATCTGAAGGAGGGAAAACAATAAGGGGAGGAGATGCCTACCGGAGAGGCGGGTCGATCACAAACAGGGGCAGGCTGGGCAGAGGGAAGGCGGCGGCCGCAGTCACCCGCGGCAGCGCCTTGGAGACCAGCCCACTGGCCCTGGGGGGGAGGCGCGTCCGCCCGCGGGAGCTCCGCGGGCCCGTGCGGGCTTTCCTGCCCGGGATCGCACCCGGGAGGGCTCCCGCGCGCCGGCCCAGCCTTCCTCAGGTCTGGGCAGCTGCCTCATGCGGGCAGCGAAAAGTGGCTCCGGGGGACGGCGGTGGGGGAGACCCTCGACCCCGCGCTCACTCGCGGTGGCCGTTTTCCTCCTGGGCCCTGATTGACATCTGCAACGGACCGAAAACACCCCTCGCCCCGGCTACTTGCATCTGTTCCGCGACCGCCGCAGCTGCAGGCCGCCGCCCCGGGGCGGCTCGCGGCGGGAGGGCCCTGAGCCCGGAGCAGCCCACAGGGGTTGGGCCGCGTCGCTTACCCAGACGCCGCCGCGGCGGCCCGCCGGATCCTCCGTGCGGGAGGGGCGGCTCCCGCGCCGTGTACGTCACGCGGCGGCGCCGGCTCACGCACCCCGTGGCCCGCTCTCGCGCGGCTTCTCGCGCCGACCGGCCCGCGAGGACTCACGTGACTGCGTGCCCGGCTAGCCCGAGAGCGAGGGGCGCGAGGGCCGGGGTGGGTGTGCGTGCGTGCGTGCGTGCATACGTGCGCGCGCGCCCGCCCGCTGCCCGCTCCTGTGGCGGGGCGGGGGGTCAGCCCGCTCGCCCGGCGCCTCCGCCGCGGTCTCTCGTCGTGACTGTAGGCGGAAGCGTGGGAGCCCAGCCTGGGCGTCACGGGCGCCCCCCACCTCCCCAAACCGCGTGACCCCGGGACTTTCCCCCAGGGTGTGCAGAAGCACGGGGCCCCGACTCAGTTCAGGCGGGGGTGGGGGTGGGGAAGGGTGCGACCGCGACCGCGTGTTCGTGGGAGAGGGCTGAGGGCGCGGGTCCAAGCGAGCTGAGCTGCGGGAGCTTGAGAGAAGAGGCGGGCTGGACGGGGTGGGGCATGGCGGGGAAATGACTCAGGGCCAAAGGCGGACGGGCCAGGGGAGGGGAGGGTGGGGAGCGCGGGAAAAAAAAAAAAAACGACCCTGCACTGACCAGCGGCGCGCGGGACAGGGCGAGGGTACCCACGCCCCCAGAAGCTCGGGGGCGTGCTGCGGGGGCGGGCCCAGGGCTGGGGACGGACTTCGGGACAGGGTGGGATGGCAGCATCCTGGCCCTGGGGAATCGGGAGGAGCCCGGTGTCCTCCAGCTGTGCAAACAGGAGGAGGAGGTCCCAAGCGTACCCCTGGGAGAGGGGCGAGAGGGGTGGTCAAGCCGCGCCGGCCCCCGCGGTGCGGGTTGCGCCAGCCTCCTCGGAGCCCGACGCAGAAACTTGTTGCAACAAACAGGCGACCGCGGGTGCCCCTAGCAGCCAGCGGCGGAGTGGGTGGGCGGGCGAGAGGGAGGGGAAGGCTGGCGGACGCCGCAGCGAACTGGTGGGCAGACCCGGAGTCGCCGCGTAAGCGGGGCCGGCTCAGTGCGGTGCGGCAGGCGCGGCTGTGCGGCAGCGGAAGTCCTTTGTTGCAGCACAGTCCCTGGCAGAGCCTGAGCCTCTCCGCGCAGCCCAGCCCGAGCGCCGCGCGCCGCCGCCACTGCAGCTCGCGGCCCCTTCACCTCTGCCCGCCTTTCGCGCGGCCGATCTGCCTCAAACTCCTCAAAACCTCCGCCGCCCCGGTGCCTGCTGCTGCCGGTGAGTATCTGCCAGTTGTGAGGCGATTTGCGCAACTTTGGCCCGGCCCGAGAGGCGGCGGGCCGCGCGGGCCCGACGGAGTGCGGGGCCGGAGCGGCGTCAACCCGTGCGGGGAGCCGGAGCGCGGCGGACGCGCGGCGAGGACCCCGGCGACGGGGCGGCTGCGGAGCCGCCTGGCTCGAGCCCGCCGCCCGCCGGCGCGCCGGGTCCGGGACAAGCGGCCTCCCTGCGTCGGAGGCAAAGCCCCTGCCGAGTCTAGTTCACAAATTTGTTCTCTTTTTCTTCTTCTTCTTTTTTTTCTCCCCCCCCCTTCTTTCCCTTTATTTTTCCGAGGGGGGAGGGGAGAGGAGGTGTAGACGGGAGGCGGGAGGACTCGGTTGATTGACGTGCCCAGAGCCCGCTTCGCGCAACTTACAGCTGCGGCTTCGCGGCGGGTGGGAGGGGAAGTGTCCCGGAGCCCGAGGCCGCAGACTTGGGCGCGCTCCGAGGGAGGAGGCGTAAGAGCCGGGCAAATTCTTGCCACGCTCTTTCCCACCCCCTCCTGCCGGCGCGCACACTTTTTGTTCGGTTAAAAAAGAAAAAAAAAAAACCGTAAGTCTCGGGTCTCGGAATACTTTTTGACATAGAGGTTTCCTGAGAAGAAAGTGCTTTGGTCGCTCTCGGTGGGCACTTCCTGGAAGTTCTCTTAGTGTTGGGTAAATGTGTTGGATTTGAGTGTGGAGTCCTTAGTGAAAAATCACTGAACTCAAGCCACCTTCCCAATTTCCCCTTCTACTTGATAGGAAAGGTTGACATGACAGTTTACAGATTGGGAACGTCACAGCGCCGCAGAGAGGTGGATAAAAGCCCGGGATATTTTCTGGGGACAAGTAGGACAAGATTTTGGGGGTGGAGTGGGGGGGTAATATTCCGAATTCGAGTTTCTGCATAGAAGGGCGTGCGCAGGTCTCTACTGTGCAGAGATCTGCAGGACCTATAGGGAATACTCCACCAGAACACTTCTCTCTCTGACATTCAAATCTAAGCCATGGTTCCAGGTTGTTGCTCTGTGTGTGTGTGTGTGTGTGTGTGTGTGTGGTGTGTGTGTATCTCTATCTCTGGGGAACGCATGGGGGTCGGGGGATCCATGGTTTACTGCTGACTGGGCTCAGGGATCAATCCTGGCACGGTTCTGAGTTCATTTGGGGATGCCTGGGATTGAACCAGAATAGGCTACGTGCGAGGCAAGCCCCCTACATGCTGTATTCTCTCTCCAGACCTCACTTCAGGTTTTTTGAAGCAACATAGAATGAGTTCATTTCTTTTTCTTTTTTGAGTGGGGTGTTGATCGAATTAATGTGTCAAGGTGCAAAGCATTAACCCTGTCACTAGATAAATTTCCAGCCTTAGAGTTAATTTCTTGATCTGAAGTTCAAGGACTTTTCCTTTTAAATGGAAAAATTAAACAAGAGGACATTTTGTTGTTGTAAGCAGATAGGCTGTGGAGAAATGAGAAGGATTGGGGTTCAAAAGAATGAAGCTGTAACCTCAAAACTTTCCTTCTCAATCGCTCGTTTTCTAATATAAAGTCAGCATAACTGGTTAGGGCAGCTAGATGGAGCATCCTTGTCTTAAACAGAAAGCTGAAGTCTACTGAAAGTGAAAAAATCTGTAAAGATTAATAAACTACAGGGTAGGAGCAATAGTAGGGTACGTAGGGCACCTGCCTTGCACAGAGTCAGCCCTGGGTTTGATCCGCAGCACCACATAACTCCTGGGCTCTGCCAGGAGTTAGACCTGAACATAGCCAGGAGTTAGCCCTAAGCACCACTGGGTGTGCGTCCAGCCCCCAAAATAAATTGCAGTAAGCCTTCAATTAACATCTTATACTCATTATGACCAGATTTTCATGTTACAAAATAATTTAAGTTGGCCAGTCCTTCCAGAAGCCTTTTTGTACTTTTCACATCTAATGTAGTTGCCAACTTTGTAGGGACTAGCCTGGTGCATCACTGTCAGAGACAAGAGAAACTGTTTAAGCAGGACCTTAACAGATTATTCCCATGAGTGATCTGAGCCACTGGGTCTTTTGTTTGTTGCTCATACCCAGCTGTACTTAGAACTTACTCCTGGCTCTGTGCTCAGGAGACTGTTTGCAGTGCCCGGGATCCAACCCAGATCAGCACATACAAGGCAGGCACCCTACCAGCTGTACTCTCTCTCTGGCCCTGAGCCACTTGGTCTTGACCTGTGTTTTGAATTCACTTTAGCACTGATAAATTCTGCTACTATTTCCTCATTTTCTTCTTTCACCAGGCTCTGGGGAAGGTATAGTTCATGGACTTTTTTTTAAGGGTATCTTCTTGCAGAATTTCTCAGTCTAATGAGAGGAGGAAGTGCTTGCTTTCAGGCCTCTCCTCCAGCCAGGGAAAGTGTTCATTAAGCCTTTGCTATTAACCTTCTGGCTCTGAGTGAGGAGGAAACCATCTGGGATAAAAATACAGAAAAATTTGCACATACTTTCAAGTTAGTCTTTTGTGTTTCCCTCCTCCCTGAAATTGAGATGTAATTGAAAAACATCTGTTTGAGAGATCACTTTGGCCTCTCTAGGATGTTTTCTGATTATCCCAACATAAACGTTAAAATGATTTTATACTGTTAAGTCATTTTTCAAAATGGAATGTATTAAAGAAAAATTATGCTCTGTAAAAATTCAACCATAAATTTGAAGGAAATAAATATGAAGTACATGGAGTAAATTATTCTGACTCCCACTCCCCAGAGATATTCACCATTAACAGTCAACTCCTTGTTCGAAAGGAGAGAAGGCAACATTTGATCATAACTCTGCTGATAGAGGATGAGTTTCTCTTGCTCAGTAGCCACAGGTACCATGCCAAATATTAAGCAAAAAGATAACAGAGAGGAAAAGAGACTGTGCAGTTTTTCTATATGGCATGATACATATTTAAGTTAGATTTCTAAGTATGTTTTGTGACATGTTGTGATTTACATAGTAACTATAAGAGAATATAAAGTTTAGAATCACTTATTCCATAGTCTGGTATCAACAAGAATGAGCTGTGAGGTAGGTAGTTGGTATTCTGAAAACAGAGCTCCTGTATACATAAAAATTAATCACAGTATTGGTAATTTGAGGATGTTGGGGCATGAGTGATTTTTACACTACTGACTGCCTTTGAGTTTAAAATAGGTTTCTTGAGGGCCAGAGCGATAACACAACGGGTAGGGCATTTGTCTTGCATGCGGCCGACCCAGGTTCAATCCCCGGCATCCCATATGGTCCCCCAGCACCGCCAGGAGTAATTCCGGAGTGAAGAGCCAGGAGTAACCCCTGAGCATCGCTGGGTGAGACCCAAAAAGCAAAATAAATAAATAAATAAAATAGGTTTCTTTTGGTTGCATTTTCACGCCACACCCTGTGGTGCTCAGGGTTTGCTCATAGTGGTGCTCAGGGACTACACTGGGCTAGGGATCAAATTTAGACCGCAGCATGCAAGCATACACATTAGTCTTTTGAGCCATCTCCCCAGCCATGAGTTTAAAATGATCTTAAAATTAAAATTGGAAAATTAAACACTTGCATTCATTTCCTGTGTGAGATACACATAATTCTTAGAGAAAACTGTTAAGTTTCATTTCCATTTTGTTTTGTTTGCTCAGATGGGAAGCGGGAAAGTCAGCAGATGGAAACAGGAGATGGAGAAAGGGACAGGGCATTCTGCTTGTATGAGGCTGTAAGAGAATTGGGTGGCTTGGGATGTCCCAAAGTGACATTATGATTAATAGTCATCACTAGAAAGTATTGCCTGGTTTATGAAAGTTGAAACTTAGGACTCTGAAATAAAGGAGTCAGTTTGTATTTCATATTGCACTTAAAAGGTGAGCAATTTGGGACATACCACCACTGATCCTATTTCCTCATTCACAAAGTGAAAATAAAAATGCCTACCTGCAAGGTGGTTGTTCAAATGAATTGAATTGTTGTTCAATTCAGTTGAACAATGTAGGAGAAATTGCATGGTAAAATTAATATTGACCACTATATGAAATTTGCCTTGATTGAAATCATGCAAAAAAAAGTGAAAAAGAAACAATCTACCTCAGTGTTTACTCAAAAACTGATCTAATAGCAACTAAATGCCAGATAAATGTTAGAACACTAAGAATGTACCAATCCACACCTCAGCCCCCCAGAATAACTGTCCCAGTCAAAGCAGGGTAACTACATAGTTATAATTTCTGCTGTGAGTGTAGAAAGAGCCATAGCATCCTAGTGTCATTGATACATTTGGCACCTTATAGTTATATGTTTTTGAAGTGATGTGTCACTGTGAGATCTAAAAGAACTTCCTTTAGAGAGTGAATTGGAGATGGTTCTAAGCAAAAGCCAATTTGTTTTCTGTTTGTTTGTTTTTTGACTTTTTGGGTCACACCTGGTGATGCTGAGAGGTTACCCCTGGACTGCATTCAGGAATTACTCCTGGCAGTGGGGACCATATGGGATGCTGGGGATCAAACCTGAGTCAGCCACATGCAAAGCAAATGCCCTCCCCACTGTACTATAGCTCTGGTCCCACAAAGGCAACTTGTGAAAGCCTGGAGACTTCAATAGGTCCTTTCGGGGGAAAGGGGGAATCTTAAATAGAAGGCTTGAAAATAGATTGAAGATTCTTAGAATTGGTGTATTTTTAATTTGTGTTCTTCAACCTTTTTACACTTGTGGACTGGTACCTGTCCTGCAAACCAGTCTATGGACCAGCAGTTCTAACCAAGATGGTAGACCAATGGTTTTCAGTTTTTTTCCCCTGGCGAACCAGCACTAGCCCATGGACCAGTGGTTGAAGACCACTGCTTTTTATGATATAGTTAGTTTCATTTCATTAACTTAATTAGATAAGAGTGTGAAGTTTTCAAGATTCCGGTTAGAATCGGTCAAAAAAATCTTCAGCGGCACAAAATTTGAAACAGTAGATTTAAAATATATGTGGATTGGGCCC